CCTCACCTGAGGATATTTTGTCATTGCTTTTCAGAGAGAGTGGAAGTGGAAGGGATAGGGAAGGAGAGAGAGAGGAAGAGAAGGAGAAAGAGGAAAGAGAGAGAGAGAGAAACATGGATGTAAGAGAGACGCATCAACTGGTTGCCTGCCCTGACTGGGGGCAGGGAGCGAACCCACAACCCAAGCACATGCTCTTGACTGGTTATTGAACCCTCGACCCTTCAGTGTGTGGGCCGACACTCTAACCACTGAGCACACAGGCCAGGGCCATAAGGTCTTATTTTAATGAAGCAATAAATCCTCCCATTAATGCCCTGTTCTGAGGATTTAAAAGTTATTTTTGTCTTTATTGTTGAAAGTCTTACAGATGTCCCCTTTGTTTTTTATCTTCATTGACTCCCTGCACCCTGCACCCGCCCCTCCCACCCTTCATCACATTGTTGTCTGTGTCCATGGGCTATGCATGTAAGTTCACCGGTTATCTCTCTGTTCTGAGGAATTCTGAAGGGAAAGTAAACAGGTGGGCTGGATAGTTACATGGCAGTTTTTTATCCAAGAGACTTGGGTCTGCATTTTCAGGGAAATCCTTTTGCCCCTTCCTCCCCAATACTGCCTGTAAACAATGATCTCTCCCCCTGAGCAGAACCACCTCCCAGCCCTAACCACCCGCTCGCCCCACATCTCTCTGAGGACAGGGAGGCCGTGGAAAGGGAGGCAGTCACATTGTCTGGGGCCCCTCGCCATGCGTCCTGCCTGGGTGATGCTCTTCGGCCACTCCTCAGTGAGAATTCGCACACGACAGGCTCCCAGCCTTCCAGGCAGAGACGTAGTGAAAGGTGAGCAGGGCCCCTCAACCACCAGCCTCTTTCCCCCCTTTTCTATTTGCTTGTTGCTCGAGATTCCTTTGAGTCTATTGAGAGGGGGTTGGCCTGTTTTAAGCTATTGTACGTACGCCATGAGCATCTGTAGATGCAAGTGGCGGACCTTCCCCACACGCCCTGCGCGTCTATAAAAAACAAATGTTCCCCCTCAGTGGCAGCCCTGACCAACTTTGAAATCGTTTTTTGGTGAGAATTTTCAGCTGAAAATATTCAAAAAACACCCGAATTGTAACATTTATTTTTATAATATTCACTGCGAATTGATTTTTTAAATTAAATTCAAAATATCGTGGCGTGTGGGGATGGTTCCCGTTTTGGATGCGGGGCAGTTAACTGGTTAAGCAGTTTTAATTACTCAGCGATATGAAATGCCGCCTGTGCCCGGCTCAGTGCGGGCATACGCTGGTGTTCTCCCAGCTGCGGGCAGGGGTGCAGCAGGAGGGGCGGCTTTGCGCGATGCTCTCCTCCAGCCCCCCACACGGCGCCTCCTCCACGGTGCCTGCGCGCATGTGCAGTCGTATTGAGTCCGTGTCTCCATGCCGGACACATCGGTCCCTCTGCTTAGAACAAACTGCGCCAATGTTCTTGGATAAGACCCAGTTCAAGGCGGGGCTGGGGTCGCAGAATTCCAGACAGCGCCCACGAGAAACCCTCCCATCTGTTCCTATGATCAGCCCCCTGACATCCCCTCCCACCCGCGAAGGAAAACGAACACATGGCGGCCAGGGTCCGTTTTGAACAACTTTTATTATATGTTTAGTGTTCTCTATACAAAAGAAATCAGTTTTTTTACAGTGATTCAAAAAAAACTCTGATAATTTGGCCTTTTCGTTGCTCATGCAGTCAGTTTATAAGTCCGTGTATTAGACGGTCCTCCGTGGCCCAGGCGTCTTCCCTGCTCAAGGCCGTGCGTGACACCCTCGGTCGCATCTGTCGCTGACGGGGTGGGTTAATGCAAAGTAACTCACAGAAAGGAGAGAACGCGATGTCAGAGGGGTTAAAACAAGGTCTGCGGCGGCGAGTTAGATATTTAACCCAGGGAAAAAAGACCAGACAGTTGGTGGGTGTGTGCGTGTGAGGAGGGATGGAGACATCGGGGACACATTTTCCCGCCGAAAGGAACGGACTGGGAGGGTCCGGCGCGGGTCGGGTCGGAGGTGGGACCAGGACAGAAGGCGGCCACATCCCTGGCGACGGATGCTCAGCTCAGAGGGGTGTGAGGTTGGCAAAGAGCTGGAAGCCGGGTGGAGGGACAACACTGACTGGAGATGTTGCATTTGAGGATCAGAAAAGAAGAGTGGGGCGGGGTCATCTGACCTGCATCATTTTTGGGGGGAGAAAAGGGAGTGCACAAAATTCTGGATTCCTTTTCCCAGATTTTTGTGTTTATTGCTTCGCTGAAATCTTCACATGTGCTGCAGCCCAGCCCACCCCAGGGTGGCAGAGCGTCCCAGGGCCCCGCTGCCCCGTGGCACCTCGAGGCCAAGGGTGGGGTGGACAGAGCCCTTTACACCCTCGCTTCCGAGGGACACAGCGTGCTGGGGGTCGATGTGCTACGAGCAAGAGGCAAGTCCGGGCTTCACAGTGACAAACGCCAGTCACCTCGTCACCCTTCTCCTGGCCCGGGTCTGCCCGCCACACCACAGGCTGGCACACGCTGACTGGTCTTGGACTCAGAAAGACCCTTTGTGTCTTTCCCTGTGGGGGATGTGGGAGAAGTGGAGAGGGGTACAGAGGGTGACCAGCAGGGCGGAGCTAAGTAACACCGCTGCTTCCAAGGAGGCAGCTGGGGGAGCTGCAAGAACACTGGACAGGGAGCCCGAGGGCCCGAGCTCAAGCCCTGACCGCACCTTGATTACTGGCTGTGTGGTCCTGGGCAAACCCCTCCCCCTCCCCGGGAGTTAGTGCCCTTGTCTGTATGCTGAGTCATTTCAATGAGATCAGCTCTGATGCTTTCACACTCAGAGATCCGAGCCCCATCCTGCACTGGATGCCGTTGCACCCATTTCATGTCCACCCTTATTCCAAAACACATTTAATACTAATTTACTGGTGGAGGGGCACTGGTTTGGGGTGTGTCTTGAGACACTGGTTGGTGGGGGCTGTGGCTTCCCTGGAGGGTGGTCGCCTCTCTCTCGGATCCGCCTCTGACCCTGTCTCAGGAAAGCCTGCTTGTGAGGGGAGGGGACGGGAGAGGGGGGAGGGAGGTGCTGCTCTGATGTGGGCTGCACAGGCTGCGGGCGGCCCAGGAGCTGGGCTCTGCCCAGGACACCGAGTCTCCTGTCATTTCAAGCTGTTTCATTTGTTTGACTCTGATTAAAAAACAAAACAAAACCCAGACACTCCTGCATGCTACGCCTAAGTCACCGTGCGAAGCTCAGCCAGGATCTGTGGGGCGTTTTCTTTCGAGTGGACCTGACAGTGTTGGGCAGGGCCCCCTGGATTAGTGATCACGGTGTCACGAGCGGGGAGTGCTCTGTGCCCATATTTCAGGCACTTGCCACCCTCCCCCCCCCGAGAGGTGGTTCCCTGGCACCAGCCCCTGCTGGCCGAGAGCCCAAGGAACCTCACCTCTTCAGTGTGAAGGAAGCAGCCTCGAAAAGACAGGTAACAGCAGATCCAGTCCCCACCCCGCCAGTCACGCTGTTTGCGACCTCTGTGACTTGGCTCTGACCTTGCGAAGGGCTCCCGGTGCCTTAAAGGGCCACTGTCTGTGCTGTGCCTGGGGCAGGCTCACTCTCCTTTGCATCAGACTTGTTCTCGCTTGGTTTTGCCCTCTGCAGTGGCCCAGAGGGGCCCGCCCTGCACAGCTTTCCTTCTGCCCCAAATCGCACACTGCACCCCACATAGCCCTTCACAGCTCACGCAGGCCTGGGTGTGGACCCCGCCTCTCCGAGACAGCGTTCTTCTCGAGGAGCCGCCGGCCATATGGCCTCGGTCTGCAGCGTGTCCATGTGAGGGTGCGCCCCTGTGAGGGTGCTGGGTGGGGCTGGGGGAGCAGTCCCTTAGCTGGGAAGCCCACAGATACGCCTGGGTCTGTTTCCACCCCTTTGCTAAGGCCAGCTGCTCAGGGAAACGATGAAACTAGTTGCCAGGCAGCAGACACCCTCGCAGGGCGAGCAGTGTGGGCACCGGCTGCCCCTCAGGCGGGTGGAACCTGCGCTGGACCTTGGGAGTGGACCCGATACATCCATCCTCGCAGGCAAAGGCAGTGGACAAGGCAAGGAGCCAGTCTGGTTGTCCCTTTGGCTTAAACTCAGCCCTCCCCTCAAAAGCCAGGCAAGAAAGAACCAGTTCCATTCTCCAGGAGCCAGGCAAGGTGGGGGGCAGCTGTCCCCTGGCCCTACAGCAGATGCTCCCCCGACACTGGCCTCCTTGCTCCAGGTGGGCCCATATCCGCCTGTAGGGAGAGGTATTCACCGGGGGACTGACGAGGGGAGACCGAGGCACCAATACACTTGCCCAAGGGGCAGAGCTCAGGAGGCGGGCTGCTCCTCAACTGCCCCGGGGGTTTGATGCCCTGTCTTGCCCAGCCTTGCAGACCAAGTTCTCTCTCTAAAGCTTCTCCCTTCGAGCCTGGGCCATTGGCAGCTCACACGCTCAGAGAGCTCCCAAGCAATGCCATTCTGTCCCAAGCTAGGCCGGGAGTGGGGGCAGCTGTCCCCTGGCCCTACGGCAGGATGCTCACCGGACACTGGCCGGCAGCCCTGAGAAGGCAGGGGCCACACCTGACCTCACCGCGGTATTCACGGCTCAGAGCCCAGCTCATAGTTGATGTTCAAGAGGATATGCTGAGCTCTAACCGGTTTGGCTCAGTGGATAGAGCGTCGGCCTGCGGACTGAAGGGTCCCAGGTTCGATTCCGGTCAAGGGCATGTGCCTGGGTTGCGGGCACATCCCCAGTGGGAGATGTGCAGGAGGCAGCTGATCGATGTTTCTCTCTCATCGATGTTGCTAACTCTCTATCTCTCTCCCTTCCTCTCTGTAAAATATCAATAAAATGTATTTAAAAAAAAGAAAAGAAAAGAAAAAGGATATGCTGAGCCCTGGCCAGTGTGGCTCAGTTGGTTGAGCGCTGTCCCATGCACCGAGAGTGGCCGGTTTGATTCCCGGCCAGGGCACATGCCCAGGTTGTAGGCTAGGTCCCCAGTGGGGGGTGTGCAGGAGGCCGCTGATGGATGGATCTCTCTCTCCCGTCCTCTCTCTCTCAAAGTCAATAGAACATAAAAGTACATGCTGAGCGGCCATCGCAGCACAGGCAATAAACCTGCAGTCACTGCGAGGTGACCTACACGGCTCCCCACTCCGGCCCCCAGCCAGCCAGGCCGAAGCACCAATGGTATCGCCCTCTCCCGGCATGGTGGTTGGGTGTTTTGGGGTGACTGTTTGAGAGCCCTGGCTGGCAGGGAGTGGGGACAATACTTTTCTCCTGCTGAGCTGGGTGGATTCTGGCACGGAGCCATGAAAAATGGACTTTCTTCTCCCTGGAAGGGCTGCCTCCCTAACCTTAACCCTAACCCTAACCCTAACCCTAACCCTAACCCTAACCCTAACCCTAACCCACATCTCTCTCTAAGCACCTGCCCCCTGTGCCTGGGGAAAACTTGGTTCTCCAGGCCAGGTTTGCTCTTGCTGCCGTGATGGCATGGTGGTGTGGGCGAGGGGGAGTACACAGCCGAGCGGGGTGTAAACGAGGAGTGAAGACAGGCTGAGGAACCACTGCCCCCCAAGACCCAGGGGTAGCGGGGGCCCTTCTGTGGCCATCAGCTGTGCAGCAGCCTTTGTAGAAGCAGGGGCATGGGCCCCATGACTTCCCACAGTCCTGCTTGCCCCAGGAGCCCGTTTTCGGTGCAGTCAGTTCATTAGTGTGTGTGGTGCAGTATGGACGCAGGGCCTGAGACACTATCTTGCTCAGACACAGTGTTTTCTGGAAAGGCCGGTCCTTTCATTCAGGCCACAGGCACTCTTCCCTGGCACTCCCTGCAGGGCCCGGGGTCCAGGCTGCAGGAATACCCGGCTGTGTCCAGGCAGGTGTCAGAGGGAAGCCAGGGGAGGGGGCCCCTGAGCTCACTCCCCAGCCCCCTGCTATTCACCCTGTTCCGGTCGCCAAGAGAGAGCTGCCCCTTGGGGCTTCTAGGTAGCAAACCTGCCCGTGATTCCCAGGTTCAAACAAACAACTGGCCCAGCTCTGGGCTATGGTTTCTTACCTGCAGACAGAGTGTGTGTCTGTGGGCCTGACCTCCACTGACTGGTCGCTAAGGGATGCAGGCACAGCTAATACCTTTGTGGCGTATACACGTGGCAAATGCTGCTTCAATAAAGTCTCTGAAGGGCACAGCCCTGTTCCTGCCCAGGTCCCTGGCCAGCAGCTGGAGGCTCAACTCAGAGGCTGTGTCTGCGGCAGGTGGCCCATCACAGGGTCAGTGTCCCCCTCCTGAACCCGACGTGAGCTGCAGCGACAGCTCAAGATTCCTCTCAGGCTCAAGCTCTCTCTCCTCTGAGACCAGGTACCTTTGGTTTCGAGAGCGGGTTAGTGGGGTGGACGAAGGCGGTGCCTTCAGCCTCCGAGCACTGCAGGCAGGTCTGCGAAGGTCCCCTCTGGGCCACGGCTCGCAGGGCACGTGTGAAGTGGTTGTTTCTGGGTCTGCTGTGATGCTTGCATAGGCCGCCTGTTCTCCTCCAGACAGGCCTTGCTGGAGGCTTGCGGCTTGCAGGGAGGGCTGGCGCCCGGGGCTGCAGGGACACGGGAGAGTTGCGTAAGGCATACGAAGAGAGGCGCGCCGAGTCCTCCAGGCCAGGTTTCATAGCACGGCTCGGGTGCTGTCCCCGCAGGGGGCCCATAGGGAAACACCCTACGGGAAGGACACCCCGTCTGCACAGCTGCAATGTTACAGAGAACCGACCGAAGGGATGACACCTGCAGAGGTGAAGGGGGAGCAGTGCTTTACACCCCCAGACACACCAGCCAAGCTTCCGCACCACAAGGCCCCATCTCCTGGAGGGCACGGTGCAGACCCTGGCCAGGTGGGGGGCACCCTCTCCTCTGGGATACAGTGGGCGTGGCCCTAACGCCTAGTCCTGGGTGTCCCTGATGGGGAGGAAGGAGTCCAAACCCAGTCTTGTTCTCCTCTCTTGAGGTGAGCACAGCTCCCCAGGGACCGGGTTCCTGCTTTTCTGCTGCTTGAGGTCCCCAGTCACTGGAGTTGAACTTTCCATCAGGGCCCGCTCCTGCTCCTCACACTCCTCCACCAGTCAGTGCAGCTCTTGTCCCAGACACTCTGGAGGATCGGGCAGGGTCACAGGGAGGAGCAAGAGGTAGCCCACCTCCCAGCTGAGCCAGAGCCAGAGCCAGGCAAGAAGCCCTGTCCGCCCTCTCCCTGCCTAAAATACTGTCATTTTTCCGGAAAGGAGCCAAGCCCAGCTCAGCAACAGACAAGGCCGAGGTGATGGGTTGCGGGCAGCGGGAGGCATACGGCGAGAAAGGCATCCTTCGAAATCACTGGCCCCACGCGGTTGAATACTGCAGCTTTTCTGTATGTTCTTTTATGGACCAAAGTTTTTTTTACCCATCGTTGCAGCTTTTTGGGGGAGGGGGGAAGGGGTGGGGGGAGAGAGAATCCACCTATTCTTTCTCTTCCCAGGGATACTTCAGAAGGAAGGGAAAGTGGAGACATTGGATCTGAAGGGAAAGATGGATAAAGCAAAACAAAGGCAATGACAAGTACCAGAACCGACAGGAAGTGGTGAGTGTATGCTGAGGTCAAGGGAAGGCAGTGCCGGGGGAAGGCTCAGGGCGGCTGTGAGGCTGAGCAGGGGCCCGGGTGCCCTCCAGCTGAGCTCGGCCACGGCTCGGGCTCTCCCCCACCGATGGCACCTGGTGTGTGGGTCATGGGGAGGGGCTTATGGTTGGCTGGGTGGTCAGTGGTCCTCACAGCTTGGCAGGCCCCCACGCTGTACCCTGTCCATGAAGGTGGCGGTGGCTGGGTCGCCCCCGCGCCTCTCGCCCCACTTGGAAAGCAGTGGCTGTGCCTGGGCTCCGCTAGGCCAGAGAGTAGATGGCGTTGACGGGCGACGTGGCTTCCGAGCTCTCGTTGCCTTCGGTCTCCTCCTTGTCCTTTTTGACCGTGTACTGGCCGATGAAGGAGCCGTCCTCGTTGAACTGCCCCTCGCCGCCCTCGCCATAGTCCACCAGGCTGTCGTCACTCTCCTGCTGCTTGATGGTGCCGTCCAGCGACGTCTGGCTCCCCTGCAGCGGCTTGTTGTCCTCGTCACTGGCCGGAGAGAGACAGAGAATCAGAACTGGACCCGGCCCCGTGCTGCCCACACCTGGGGCGGGGCAGGGCTGGCCTCTTGCCACGCACAGGCACGATGGGCTACACAGCTCCGAGGGGACAGGTCCTCAGGGATCAGCCCGTCCAGCCCTCCCCGTCCAGCCAGTTCTACAAACGGGCAACTATGGCCCGGAGGCCATGCAGCTTCTCCAAGTGGGGGGGAAAGTGGGCGCAGAGCCGGGACAGGAGCCCACACTTGACTCCTGGGCTGGGGTCCTCTCCATGGGGCTGGGCCACTCTCTGGGGTGGGAGGGAGCAGGCACAGCCACTGCTGGGAGACCAGGCGGACAGGAGTCAGGATGGGTCAGCCCTTCAATTAGCCTCTCCATCAAGAAGGGTTGGCCTGGTTTTACTCTTGATTTGTGACTTCGGGTTTTTATCACCATTAAACTTTTCTATTGATTGATTTGAGAGAGAGAGAGAGAGAGAGAGAGAGAGAGAGAGAGAGAGAGAGAGAAGAGAGATTTGTTGTTCCACTTATTTATGCATTCATTGGCTGACGCTTGTGTGTGCTCTGAGTGGGGATGGAACCCGCAATCTTGGCGAATCAGGATGATGCTAACCAACTGAGCTATCCGGCCATGGCTGATGAGTGGCTTAGTCTGAAAAGGCTCTGCCCTTGACAGAAAACCAGGGTCAGGCCTTAAAGAAACAAACCTTGGCCCTGCCCCTCCCGTTCTCAGCCCAGGTGTTGTTTCTCTCAGCTGTCTCTCTCTCATTTATCTACAAACAGATGCTGTTGCTTCAGGCCTAGCAAGTGAAAGAGGGTGTGACATGCAGATAACAGGTGAGACCAGAAACGGCTCAAAGGCATCCTGTAGCTCCCTGAGGCCCCTCTTGTGCAGGGAGGGCTGGGAGGCTGGTGGTGAGGGTGACAGCTGCCCGCTGTGCCTGCGGTCCCCCAGCAGGTGAGGCACCCGAGTGGGCCAGCATCTGCTCAGGCACCACATCCCGTCTCCCAGCTGGGAAACTGCCCTTTAGGCTCTGAGGGTGGCTGGGTGCTGCTGGCTGCGCTTCAGAGGGGGAACCAGCTCCCTGGCAGGAGGCAGTGGGACCAGCCATGAGGATCTGGGTTCCGGTAGGCGGGACGATAGCGGTGCCAGGTGGTCTGAGCAGACACACACCGTCCCCTCCACAGTCCCCAGGCCATACTCAATACTCCTTCCTGGGTGTGCGGTCTGGCCTCCCACAGCAGTGCTGGGCGAAGGCAGCTGTCAGGGGAAGGCACGAGTGAGCGCGGAGGTGCTGGGCATTAGCAGGTGGAAGGCTATCAGCCCACTCTCCCCACGCTATGAGTGACGGAGCGATCGCGGCCCCATTCGTAGCTACTGTGTTCTGAGGCCGTGCTGCGGGAGAGGGGCCGAGTGAGCGAAGTGGAGCTCACCTTTTGAGACCTAGCAGAGTTTTTAAAAACTTGAAGATCTAAATTGGTTTTATTAAGCGATTCATAAATTGGGCTGCAACTCGTCTAGCAACTAGATTCTAGTTACCAGGCCCCTTACCCTGCCTGCCAGGCCCTTTCACAGGCATTCCCTCCCCAGAGCCCGCCCCCACCCGCAGAAACATGAGGATTGTGTCTGACTTGAGGGCATTCCAGGCCCCGAGGGGCAGGGAGGAGGACGCAGGTCTGGAAGGGACACACCTCTCGAAGGGAAGATGAGAGAAGCCAGGATGACGGGGGACCCTGCTCCAGCCTCCTGTCAGCCTACCTTCCAAGAAGTCTCCGAGGGCAGGTAGACAGACAAGGGGCGGGGGGGGGGGGGGGGGGAGGCGCGGACTGGGGCTGGGGAGGCAGGAGCCCCAGCGAGAGGTGCTCTCCTTGCCCCAGGCCTGTGCGCCTAGAAACTTGTCTTTTCCTCTGATGTCTTCATTTCAGCCCTTTCCCAGTTTAGGGCTCTTGGACTCATCCCAGTAGGGGCTCTAGGATGAATGCTGCAGACCTCACCCCCTCCCCAGCAAAAGCTGAGGCGGGGGATGTGCACGTGGGGGTGCATGGTCCATGCATGCGTATCCAACCTCAGTGTCGGCGGGGCAGGAGTGGGTGGGGAGGAGGCAGGGGTTTTGCCCACCAGCTTTGGCGTCCAGGGGAGGAGCGGTGCCTGTGCAAACAGCTTCTCCCAGCACAGGCTGCCTGGTCCGGTGTTTGAGGGCCTCACCCCTCCTCGGTGGCTACACTGAGGGTCTGGGGGAGAGAACGCCCCACAGTCTTAGGACCTGATGACCAGGGAACAGCTTATGGAGGAGCTGGGCCCCACCAGGGTCCTGAGGACCGTTGGGAGGGGCCTCGCCTGCCTGCCCTGTGGGAGGCTTACGGGAGGTTGGCTGGACGTGGTCCTTAAGCCGCCAGACAGGCTCCAGTGTGGGCAGTGAGTCTGCTGCCCATTGATCTGCTCTGCTTGCCAGGCTGCGGATGGGCAGAGTGGCGGAGGCCCAGGAAGGGATAAGGAGGTCAGAGGAGGACAGGGGTGACGTGGCCCCGGAGAGTGACTGGGTGGGGTGGGGAAGGAGGGCTCTGATGAGAGCATTTCCTCCCACCCCACTTGGTCTTGGAATGACCCACCACACACTGTTCCTCAACTCAAAATACACTCGCCGTCAAAACAGGCAGACTGCCACTCTGCTAAGCCGGATATGAAGGCCGGTCCAGGCCTGAGAAGGAGCATGGGGACGGACAACGGCCGTAGCTGGGAGCTGGGCCCCTGGCCTCCCAGCTCTGCCACTGGCTCACTAAGTGGCGAATGTGAGTCTTGGGCAGGTCGTCGCTCAGTGTGGGCCCCAGTCCTCTCAGTTGGGACAGTCGCTGACCCTGATGCTTCTCTAAGGCCTATTTCAGCCAAAACCCAGAGATCTTGTCCAAGTTCCTGAGGAAAAGGCTAGGACACCCCCCCTCCCACTACCACCATGCCCTTTAGGACAATCCAGCTTCCCCGGGACAGTATCTTCAGGTTGGAATGGGGTGTAGGCAGAGAGGAAGCGGAGAGCCCGGCTCACTTCATAGCAAAGAGGACCCAGCGCTTGTTTTCAGAGAAAAAAGCTGGGAACACGTGTAAATAGCCCGAGCGATCTCAGCTGCGCAGCTGAACGAGAAAAGGCCGTACACGTGTGTCGGGCAGTGTGGGGGCAGCCATGTTCGGCACAATCAGGCGAGCAGGTGCTGCCGGAGACGGAGGTGACCGTCCAATGGTCGATGGGGGAGGACCTCAGCACAGTGGCCCGTCAGCCACGGCAGCTGCTGAGGGCAGGGCCCTGCTCAGGGCAGCGAGGACAGCCACCCGACAGGGGGCACTGCGTGCCTACAGGAGCCAAGGAGACCACCCACCTGTAGTCAAAGGAGCCATCCTCTTCTTTGGGGTCCTCGGGGCCAAGGGGAACATCCTTCTTTTCTCGCACTTGGCCAGTAAGAGAAGCAGAGACACAGGCGTGAGGACTGAGTGTGTCTCTCCCTGCAGGTCCCTGACCACAGAGCCAGGAGACTCCACCTTCGGGGCCCCCATTCTCCCCCTCGACAGGGCACCAGCGATGCCTCCCTTGTTCTTGCTTCCACATTGAATCAGCCGCCAAGTTGATTCTGTCTCCTCCTCCTCCCCATGGGCTTCCTTACATCTCCACCCACAACTACTAGTAAATGCTCCTCCCCCCCGGCCCCCCACACCCCTCCCCGAGGTCTTCCCTAAACACCCAAGGGGTGAAATCCTCTCTCTGGGACCTTCCTTACCCTGCTCTGTGTGTAGTTCTGTGTGTGTGTTTCCTATGCCTGTGACAGAACCGCCAGTTCTGCCCTTGAGGGCGGGGCACCCTGTGCTTCTCCAAAGCCGTGGCCTCAGGTGTTCGAGTGGCCCCCTCCCCCACCTCTGCGACTGGAAAACATCCCCCAAGGCCCTGTCCTGTGCTCTTCCTTCCGTGCCCGCTGACATGTCCTTGAGGGGGAGATGTCTTTCCTTCTAGAGTCCTTAGCACCCAGCAGGTCATGAAGGAATGACTTTATGTATCCTTTTTGGGGTGTAAAGAAGGATCATCACCTCCTTTTTAGGGGAGGAAAACAGGCGTTGAGAGGTGAAGGACACGTCACATAACAAATTGGCAACTTCACTAAGTCCAGAGTGAAGACGCGGGCCCAGGCGTCATGGCTCCTGGTGCCCTCGGCTTTCTAAGGGTCCCCTTTCGTCTCCCTGAGGAGTTCTCCAGGGGGTCCAGTCCCATTTGGAACAGGGACGTGAACGCAGTCAGGCCGCCCACCTCCCGAGCTCTGGCTTTCTTACAGAAGAACAGTCCCATCACAGCACTCAGCATGAAAGAAACATCATTCACCGGAACAGAAATGAGGATTTCCTGCCCGCCCCTCACTTCAAGGAGAGGCACAACCCTTCAGAGTCCCAGGGGCTGCGGGTAAGGGGGCCGGGGAAGAAGGAAGTGTCCGCTCTCTGAGTTTAGGTGGGTCCTGGAGGAGGATTTGGTCTCCAGGATGGAGATGAGCAGGCACTGGGAGCACGGGGTGTGTGTGGCCACCGGGGCTATGGGGGCAAGGGACAATTTCACTCTCAGGGCCACCCGTTATCCTGACTCCTGTCACCCTGCCCAATCCATCGCAGACAGGGGGCTGTCTGGCCCATTTGAAGACAATATTTCCAGAAACAAGAACGCCAGAGGTCCTTGTCCTTGACTGTAGTTAATCTGGGCTGGAGGACCTTGAGGCCCCCAGAAGAGAAATGCCCCCTGGGCCTCTAGGGAAGCCCAAAGCCCTTGAAGGGCCAGGAGGGACCCTGTCAGTGTGTCCTGCCCCTCAGCCTCGGCATGCTCCTCATGGGGGAGCTGCTGTCCTGTTAGGGTGTCTGCAATGGTGTCCTCACCACGCCGAGAGCCCAATGCTGCAGCCTCTCTCCCGGCTGTGCTGCTTCTGTCCAGACCCTCCTCGCTACTCTCTCTCACGGTTAGAGCATATGCCGCTCCTCCTTCTTCTTGGACACAGGTTTCTAATGAGATTCGGTCTGAGAAAAGCCAATTTACCGAGCAGATGGATGGTGAGTCAAGGGAAGGAGGGTCATTCTTAACAGGGACCAGGGTTCCTCCCATGCCCTCTCTGGAGCTGCCTGGACGGCTCCATCCGTCCAATTCAAGCAACTTAATTACCTCAAGAGCTTTCTGGCAGGTCTAAGATGCATAGAACAGGCAAGAGGACTGTTTCTTGGCTAGGGTTAGGCTCACTGAGAACAGCCCCCCCGCCCCCCATCCTACCTGGGTACTTGCCACCACGGCTTCTCTTGATGAAACAGACGATGAGCAGGATCAGCACCAGGAGGGCGATGGCGCACATGAGCCCGATGAACCAGCCCTGGGTGACGATGTCGGGCTGGTTGTTGGTGTAAGCTGCGGGGAGGCCAGAAGCAAACACGTGAAGGACCTCGCATGGGAGAAGGTGAGGAGGGAGAGGTGAGGAAAGAACTTCAGCTACTTCACAGGGATGCTATTCCTAGAGCCTCATGCTACCAGCTAGCAGCCCTCCGGCCCACACTATGCGATACAGAGACAAAGAAAAAATAATTAAGGAGCCAAGGTCAAAAGGTTGGAAAAGAGGCCAAGGAAGGGGGTCAGGGAGCAGAATAAGCAGCAGAAGGCTGGCAGGCCCTTAGGAAGGGAGGTTCCCTAAGGACGAGGCATGGCACTTGTGCAAACCACATGCTGGTCACAGCCCGGCGGGGGTTGAGGGGAGGCCCGGACACGTCACAGAGGTACGATTCCTATGAATGAGCCTGGGGGAGAAAACGAAGCCTGGGTACCACTCATCAGGGAACAGGGCGTGGTCACGATGCAACCCCCTTATAAGAACATAGGCCCAGGGCAGCAGGTCTGGGCAGGATGTAGTGCCAGGACACCTTTGCTTTCTCACGTCTCCCCAACTGGATTGCGTGCTCCCTGACAGCAAAGACAGTCCTGCATTGGTACCCCAGGTGGCTGGCGGCGAGGTTGGGGCCATGCTTTTAGCACACTCCGAACCACTTCCACACGTGAAGACCGCCCCTCTACCCCCGTAGCTGTGACTTACCCCTGCCTTCCCCTATGACAGGGAGTCCCCCTCTGTCCCTGCCTGGAATACGTAGAGACTGTCTCCAAGTGGACAGACTCCTGTGTGATTGCAGGCCCATGTGGGTGAGCCTGGAAGATAGGCGTTCAGGCATGTGATGGTGTCCGGAGGGCCCAATGGCTGCAGCTAGGGCTCAGGATGGGGTGCGGGTTGGGCAGGAGCCACTGGCCATTTTCCTTTCCATGGAATGGAGAGCAAAAGCGACACCTCCTGAGAGGCAGCCTACATGGACACCAAGATGCAGAGGAGAGGAAGGATCTGAGAGCCCGTGGAGTCAGAGCCCAGGTTCGGGGCCACCTGGGGAGGAGCACAGGGAGCAGGGAGAGTGCTCCAAAGTCTATCAAGTGCTATTCTGTGCAGCAGGTACCTGGCTGCAACTGCACCCTTTGTTCCTCTTGGGCTGAGAACTGTCTTCTCAGCACCGTGCCAAGGGCATTGCACCAACAGAATCTCAATCAATGGTGAAGACCTACAATCAACTGCTGCCATGCCCTCTGAGCCCTGGCTGCCCGGGGGAGAAGCAGGTGAGTTCCGTTGAACATGGCTCATTACCCTGACCTATGCACACTGTGGGGGAAACTCCCATCCCTGCTTCCACTCCTGTTCCTACAGGCCGACCCCACAGTGTCAGAGAGACCTTCCCCATGTCCCCATAGGGTCAAATCGCCTCCTGCTTAGCCTCCAATACGGCTCATTACTGGGGAAAGTCCTGACCCGTCAGATCCCATCGAGCTGGCCCTGGCCTCCTCTCTAGTCCTAGTTCCTACCATGCTCTCCTCACGCTATACTCCAGCCACACCAGGTTCTCTCATTCCTGCCCAGGGCCTTTGCTCTGTCTTCAGATCTCTCTGTGCCAATGTCATCTTCTCAGAAAGGCCTTCCTGCATCTTCCAGCTAAAGCAAGTCCCTCCGCCTAACCCAGGCACACGGAGAACTCTAACTTATCTTCTTCTTAGCACTTATAACCATCCGATAGTCACACACTTATCAGCAGGAGATACGTTCCAAGACCCCCAGCGGATGCCCGAAACGGTGGATAGTACCAAACCCTACATTTTTTCCTATCTATACATAACCTGTGATAAAGCTTAATTTATAAATTATACATAAGACATTGACAACAACTAATGAATAGAACAATTGCAGCGTACTATAATAAAAGTTACGTGAATGTGGTCTCTCTCAAAGTATCTTATTGTACTGCACTCACCTTTTCCATGATGATGTGAGATGGTAAACGCCTCCCTAAGACGGAGGGGAATGACTTAACATTAGGCTCTACTGACCTTCGGACAACAGGTTAGGAGGAGGGTCATCTACTTTGGGCGATCCTGGCGCATCGAGCCATGACAATGTGGATGGCGGGATGTCAGGAGCAGGCGTTGCCGATGGTTGGGGAAATGTAATATTTCCAGATTGCAGTTGGCTTCAGGTAAGGGGGGGCCACTATATTACTATCACTCACGGTTTCCACTTGTAAGCACTTCCCGTGGGCTAAGCTCTAAGCACTTCCCCACTCTCTGTTAAAATCCTCACAACAACCCCATAAAGTTGTTTGCATTATTATCCCTAATTATAGATGAGGACTGAGGCCCCGAGGTTAGTGATCTACTCAAGGTCACAGAGCCAGTAAGCGGTAGCATTGAGAAGTGACCCCAGTCTGTGCTCTTTCCCGCTCTAGTCCATCCCCCAGAAGGTAAGCTCCTTGCAGAAGGGACTGTCGGGTCCAGTGCTGTCTCCCCAGTGCTAGGACAGAGCCGTACACACAGGAGGCACGCGATTCACCACCACTTCCTCCCCTCCATTCAGCCCACTCACCCTCTCTGGGCCTGATGGGGCCTCTGCTAACCTCAAACTCCTCTGTCCTTCCTTTTGCCACCCATTCCAGCACCAACCAGCATTATGCTGGTCTCCTTGGCCATTTCTGCATTTTTCTGCTCTTGCCATGCACCCTGCTGGAGGAAGAGGCAGACCCAGGCCCATCTCAGATTCACGGTGTCATGTGTCAATGGGGCCTTCACTGCTGCCTGGCAATTCCCTTTACTCATCTCCCACTGCTCCTCCCAAACTGTTCCCCTGACATCACCCCCAACCCGGTCAGCGCTGACCCACTTACCCCACCCTGGAGGCCGGTGAAATCTCCGCCTCCACCACCATCCCTTCTCCTGTGTCAGACAGGGCTCTCTCTCCTCTGAAGCTACTCCCCTCTCAGCGGTGGGACCCACGCCTCGCTTCCTTGGCAGCTCAATCCTGAAAGGATTGCTGAAAACTCTAACAGTTTCAATTTCCTCTTCGTTGCTCTCTCTTCCCTTCTGCTGCTAAGTAAGTTGAAGCTTCCTGTATCTTAAAATAAAAACCCATGAGGAGCCTGCCGAGCCTCTCAGCTCATGCACTGTCCTTTTATAGGTAAACTCAATCTTCCCTTGCCTCCAGTTCCTGTCAACCCTTTTCCCACCCCCAACAAGCCAACTCCAAGTCCCTCCATGCTGGTCGTTTCATCTACCACCGTGGAGTGGCTCTTCCCCAAACCTACCTCTGCATCCTCGACTCTCACCTTCGCTGGCAATCCTTCTATTCATCTCTCATTGTCCTTCCAGCCAGTTCCACCCCATAAGCCCAGCACTTCCTCCCAACAGCTCCTTAAATGGTCCATCTACTTGAAATTCAACAAATCTCCTGCCCCTCCCTGTTCCTTGCTTCTGCCAGTGGCTTCACCATTCTCCCTCTCTCTAAGGGCTATCATTTCTCCTTCCGAAGTGTCTCTCATATTCCCCTCACTGCTCCATTCCAGAGGGTCCCCTCACTCTCTGCCTGTCAGATCCCGAGGAGCCGATGACCATTGTATTGTGTGTTCCTAGGACACTCCCATGAGGCCTGGCCTTCCAAGTGCTCCGGTCTCCCCACCCTGCCCAAGAGCATCTCACTGCCACCCCTCTGCTCTCCTTCGTTCTACCCTCCTCCCGGAACCTCCCATTCTTCCAGCTAACACCAATCTCTGAACTCCATTTACTTCGGGCAATGTAACATTTAACTGCCGCATTTCCTGGGTCCTGCTTTCCAATGGTACTATGAAAAGTTTGGGAACAGGGGGGGTTCTTTGAGCCCCCTAGTACTTAGCATGCTGCTGATCACATAACAAGTAGGCAGTGACTACTTATTGATGAATGACCAATTTAACCCTAATATGATATGATGAACGGTGTTAGTTTCTGCCCTGATATCGCTAGGGGTCACAGGGATATTGGCTGGACCGTGAGCCACGCCTGGGCGCTGGGATGAAGGACTCACTTCCGCCTGCGTTTGGATGAGGTCCCCACCTTCTGCAGGGAAGCTGGTTTGCATGTCTGCAGCGGCCTGTTTGCTCCACCATCGTCCTGATGCTTGTTTGGGTACATGCCGAGAGCCGTCTCTACAAGACCCCCTTTCCCTGGGGAGAAAAGTCGCAATTCCAGGGAAAGTGGCCATAGGGCAGTGATGGCGAACCTTTTGAGCTCTGTGTGTCAGCATTTTGAAAAACCCTAACTTAACTCTGGAGCCGTGTCAGATATAGAATTTTTTTGATATTTGCAACCATAGTAAAACAAAGACTTATATTTATGATATTTATTTTATATATTTAAATGCCATTTAACAAAGAAAAATCAACCAAAAAAAAATAAGTTCGCATGTCACCTCTGACACACGTGTCATAGGTTCGCCATCACTGCCATAGGGGCAATGTGGAAAGCAAATGCAGCTTTTCATTCCTGACTTCACCTTGAAAAGTTCAAATGTTACCTTTAGTCCTTACGAAAATGGCCAAAGAGAGAGAGAACCAAGATGGCGGCAAAGGCTAACGCCGGAGTTTGCTGCTTTGAACAACTACTTCAAAAGTGAAACCAAAAAACGGAAGGGACATCACCCAGAACCACAGGAACGCTGGCTGAGTGGAAGTCCTACAACTAGGAGGAAAGAGAAACGCATACGGACACTCAGAGGAGGCGCAGTGCTGAAGTCAAATTCTGAGGTGCGGAGTGCGCGGAGCGGGCTGGCGGCGGAGGGCGCGGTTGGAGTTTTCAATGGGAGGGAGTCGCAGACTCTGAGCTCCAGATACGGGCGAGTCTTTAGGGACCCAGACTCAAACAGGAGAAGCGGGACTGTCTGGCTTCAGTCAGAGCGAGTGCAGCTTTCTCTCTGAGCTTTGCAGCGGGTGCTGGGACTCAGAGAGGCAGAGCCCCTGGGGACAGGACTGAGAGCCGCCATAACTGCTCTCTCCGGCCCACCCTGTTGATCCTGTGCGACCCGC